GCGCCGGAGATGAGCCTCCCAAGAACAGGTGGAGAGCACAGAGCCGCGCGGAGCGTGCAGTTTGATGTATATATACACATATATTTGTCTTTCTTAGAAACGCGACAAGTGTTGATTCTTATCTTGTCTGGTGGACTTTTTTCCTCTTCCCTGTTCTTGCGATGATTGTCTGAACACTTTCGCCACGTTCGTTTTTTGCTTTGCTCCTCATTCCTCATGCCTTCAGGTTGGGATAATTGGCAGAAAGTCACCGTCTCCAAAGCTTCAGCAGGTCCAGCCGTGGTGTTCGATTGAGAAAGCAAACCCTTCGCGCGGGTAGTGTGAGCTGGGAAAAGCATTTTGTTTGTTCGATTTTGTTGGCGTCGAGCCATTTCTTCGTTTCGTTGCCAGCTACCAATTTGGGGCGAGAGTCACCGAGCTGCGCCTACACAGCCCGGACCTGTGAAATAACGAGCGCATTGAAACAAAGAGTATCATTGTTTGAGATGGAACACAAGAGCACAATTAAACGATCAAGTTATATGCAGCACCTTTGACACTTTGTGTCGGTCGTTTTGTCTCAGATTCCATCCACTATGGACATTCGTCCGCGCATTGATGATGGAAGCTTCCAGGGCTTTGGAGGCTCGAACAGGCATGGACGCTGTCACTGTCGACGTATAGTTATGGAGTGGTATGCCATTACGATAGTTCTTATTTGCCGCTTGAGTCAGTTTCGGGTTTGAGGGATTCGAGTTACATCCTTTTTTCATTTTTGTTTCATTGGTCTAAAGTGCTGTTTGGTTTTGTTTGGTAAAGACCCCCTCAATCTAAAGAATCTCAAATAGCAACGGATAAACTCTTGTGAACACTGTCAAACAGGTAGATATTTGGGGGAGGGCTACTATATATACCTAGCACCCATCTGACTCTTTTCTTGATAAGACAAGACCACATTTGACAGTTAGTCCAGAAAAGGGGGGTCCTTTTTGGTATATCTGGTACCACTACATATATATATATATACATAAGCATAGATACGTAGATCGTATGCTGGTGCAACTCTTCGCCAACCGCCCGGTGCTTCGTCACGCGATTCGCGTTGTCAGGCCCGATCTCTCGTTGTCGCTGGGCGTGGATCCTCACGGTTCGCCCGGGCCGACGCTGGGCGCTCAGCGGAAAAAACGTCAACGGATCCTTTGAGGTCTTTGCTTTGAAAAGGAGCTTCACTGAAGAAAGAGGAAAAAAAGAGCTTTTAAAGTCTAAAGCAAGCAAAAAGTGACGAAAGACCCAAAGAACACACACACACACATCCAGAAAACAGATTGTTGGATGAGGGCTTCTTGACCCAGGTACAATGTGCGGGAATGCCCAGCTATGCAAATGGGTGCAGTCCGGCCCCCGGCCGATATTCTGCATCGCATCTCGGAAGACGAAGAGTGCGTTGTGATGTGCCAAAGTAAGTAAAGCTTGCGTTGTGCAACTGTCTTACCATGTGTTCATTTCTGAGGGGCCCATTGCCAAGTCCAGAGAAAACAAATCCTTTGGCTGCGCTGAGCGCTTTCGTGAGCAGAGGTGCAAGACGGGCATTGAATCTACCCCAGAGAGTCTGCCATTGCTCTGCTTGTGAAAAAATAACACCCAACAAAATCCACGCGCTCTGCTGCGCGCCACATGACCTCTGCGCGCGTGGCGTTTGCTTCGTGGGTGTCGCAGGGGTGGTAGCATTGGCCCTGGCCAGTACCGGCGGAAGGACTTCTCGTTCGGACTCCCAGAGTGACCGTCGTGTTGAACTGTCACCACGGGGTGCTTCTTCTCAGATGTTTTTAATAGCTTCTTGTTCCTAGTAGCGTGGCACCTGTTACTAGTAGCGTGGCACTTGTTCCTACTAGCTGATTTTCCCAACATTGAAGTCAAGACATGCTTTGGAAATCGGAACATATCGAACAGATCATCAATCTGAGTTCGACCAAGTCGGCTGAACACCCAAAATCAGTGCCTAAGGCCTTTTCCGCTTTCTCGGCTTTCTCAGCCGTTCGGTCCTAAACAGGCTGCGATTGGACAATGGCCGGTCCATTGGCACTGGACGACAAGCCTGGGAGAAGGTGGTCTATGTGTTTTGTTGATGTTTTTTTGTAAAGCTTTGGCTTGCGTTATAAGCCACAAGTTGTTTTGCATACATCACCTTGCCTTTGTTTGGCAATCTTCTCGTCATTCTTTGTGGATCTATGCTATCTGACGCATTGTCGCTATCAATTGTCCGAAACAGCCACTCAGACGAACCCACATGTCAAGCTGGGAGGAACTTCGCGAAGGAACCCAACAAATGATTCGTGAAACCGCGCCCAAGGAATACGCATTGGCCATGATCTGTGTCGTAAAACAACTCAAGTTTTTTGGCCATCTACCTACAATTAGTCAGTGCCGATTGGATGGCAATCAGTCCAAGTACGCTGATGGGCAGGGCATTGTTCACAAGGGCCTGGATCATACCCTGAACTTTGTAGTGCAGACAATGTATGACAGTGCAAACTACTACTACTACTACCACCACGACTACTACTACTACTACTACCACTACTA